GCTTAGCTCTAAGTCGAGAGGCAGGGGGCGTGGGGGGGGGGCAGGAAGGGCCACTCGGGAGCCACATGGCCTCTTTCCCCTGAGGACCACGCGTGCATGTATCTTGTCAGGGCTGCCACCGTCGCAACCGGCCTCGGGGGGCATCGCCAGGGAAGGGCAAGCGGGAACGCGTCTCTTCATTCGCTCCAATGAAACGCCCCACCAGCTAATTCCAGCGGATCAGGCCTTGAGTTAAAGGCGTGGCTACAGCCACGGATCAAGACGTTGGCAACTTTTTCTTGCTGTTGACACGGAAACTGTGAAACTGTACACAGCTCGTTTAAGGGCACCATCCTGCACCACGGCCTGTTCCAAGATCGAGTCTGTCGGGGATGCTTCTCCTGGTCTTGCCCTAAACGCAGCCCAGTCTAAATGCAGTGAGCAGAACCAATAAATGGGTTCAGCGGTTCGAGTGTTGGACTAAAAGTCTGGAGGCCTGGGTTCTAGCCCCTGCTCGCTGAGTGACTTTCAGCCTAACCTGCCTCACAGAGCTGTTGTTGTGAGGATAAAATGGAGAGGGGGAACCGCCAAGGAAGCCTTATTGATTTCTTTATTAGATTTATATACCACCTTTTTCTTTTTTTAAAAAATTCAAAGCCGCTTACATCCTTCTCTTCCTCCTGCTCTAAATCTTACCCCCACAACAACAACCCTGTGAGGTAGGTTGGGCTGAGAGTCTGTGACTGGCCCAAGGTCACCCAGCTGGCTCCACGGCTAAGCGGGGAACTGGAACCAGGCAACAGGAAAGCGGGGTAGAAATGCAATAACCGCAACGACATACATACGTACAGAGTTGTGATTCTAACCGTTGTAAACCCTTTGCAAAGCATCAAGCGGTGATTTTCGAGGTTTTCCTCCTGCATTTCCGGCGGGTTGCAAAAGGCCCAGTTCGCTCCGATCCGTCTTTGCGCTCAGAACAAAACACGGATGACGGATGGCCCCCGAGAATGGAGCCTGCGGAGCGGGGAGGGATGCAGTGCATCACGCCAGGGAAGCGACGTGATTCATAGGTGTCGGGGAAGGGGGAACCCAGGGGAGAATCCGGAGTGTCTCCCTCCAGGAGAGACACGCGGGGAACGGTGGCCCCTTTGGGTGAGCGGCGGTCTGTCCATCCTGCGCAGGTTTCCGCAAAGGAGGAAGGCCCGCTTTCGCCCGCCCGTTTAGGTAGCAGTCCAGGCGGTGGGCCGCTGAAAGGGCGCCGCGCTCCCTCCGCGGCAGGAGAATTGCAGGCGGGCGGGTCTGTGCCGGCGTCCGCAAGGCCAGGAGGCCCGCGCGGCTAAAAGGGTTTCGCCCTCCGGGGGAGAGCAAGCAGGGCTCTCGCGGAGGCGGCCGCCCGCCCACCCGCCCGCCCTGCGAGAGGAGGACCCCCCCCCCACGTTTCGGTCCGACGGAGCCCTTCCTCAGAAAGGCAGCGCTATCCGCGGTTCGTTTAAAGGGCGGGAAGTGACCGCGCCACGGCCCGTCACCCGCCCCGCAGGGTTCCTCCACGCCCAGGCCCGGCGCTCCCCCGCCCGCTCCCTGGCCCCGGCGGGCCCGGGCGCCGAGCTGCAGCTTCCCGCCGGCCCTGGGCCGCGCCTTCGCGCCGCGTGGTCCGCGCCGGCCCGGCACGCGCTGGCACCGGGCTGCAGGGGCGGCTGGGGCGGCGGCAGCCGCGGCAGGGAGGAGGCGCCGCGGGGGCTCCGCCGCAGCCTCCGCGAGATCAGGCAGGGCCTGCCCGAGGCTGCCCCGCGTTCCTGGAAGGCATCTTCCGGCGGCCCGGCTCGGGGAGTGGCCAGTGCCGGCCGTGCGCTCACTGGAGTCGCTCTGCAGGTGGCCATCCGTTCCTGTCTCCCTAAATCTTCCGGAGAAGCGAGACTGGGGGCGGGGGGGGGGGCTTGAACTGAGGCCGCGGGACTCTGTGCCGTCGGGGGGGGAGGCGGCCTCCAGGCGTTATCTCCGCGCCCAAGGTGTGTGTGGGACGCGCGGTGAGAGGCGGCGAGGCAGTCGCCTCTGCACATGCCCCGGGGATCCGGCTGCTGCGGGACTGCAGGGGCTGGGGCCGGGCCCTCATCCCGGGCCAAGCTCTGGGTCCCAGCGCCGCACCCCGCGTTCTCACAACCTCTCCTTTGCATGCGGGGTCGGGGCGGGAAGATAAGGAGATCGAGCCAGCTAATCCTCCCAGGAGGGGCCGTAACGCGCGTCCCTGGGGCTCGGCTGCGGGCCCGCCGTGCGCCCTCCGCGCGGAACCGATCCTGGGCTCGCCGCGGCTTCCCGCCGCGCGGTGCAAGCCGAGCAGCGCCGGCGCGGGCCTGGGCGGCCCTCGCGGCGGGCGTCTCCGGGCGACTCGGCCTGCGCTCGGAGCTGTCTCGGGCTATCCGCGGTGCTGAACTCCCGCCCGCCGCCCAGTAGGTTCCCCGCCATGGTGCACGAGGGCGAGCGCCCGGAGAGCTCAGAGGAAAAGCTGCGCAGTGCAGGGCGCCCCGCTGCCCCGGGCGGCACCCGCCTCTCCCGGCTAGCAGGCCGCGCTGCCTGGGCCCGTTGGCCGCGCTTGGACCCCTCCTGCCCTGCCGCGCGCACGGTGACCAGGGGGGAAGGCGGCTTCGGCCCCCCTCGGAGCCGCGAGAAAGAGGCCGGGGAGCTCCCCGCGGCCTCGAGCTCGGAGGGAGGAAGCGGCGGGCACCCGGGGCGCCGCGCACGGACGCGCCCGTCCCTCTGCTCGCGCGGCCGGGGGTGACTGCCCGCGGCTCCGCCTCTCTCGGCAGCAGCTGGGCTGGCGGGGCGCCGCGCAGCCTCCCCTCACCACCCGGGGGCTAGAGCCCGTGGCTGCGCAAAAGGGGCGGCTTGGATGGCACCTCGGACCAGGCTCGGCGCTGGAGGCCAAGGCCAGCCAGCGCCAGCCTCCAGCCGGCTGGCCTCGGCGCGTTGGCAAGGAGCGCAAGCAAGCTGGCGGCCTCGCCGAGCCGGCCCGGGCTTTAATTTCAGGCGCCCGGGAACGCGAGGCGAAGCTTGACCGCACGTGTTTGTCCGTGGGACTGACGCTTCTGATGCGGAGTGGAAGCAGAGCCGGAGGGAAGGGGGATGTGTGTTTGGTGGCGAAAGAAAATTTGTGTGCCAGAAAGGCGCTGCTTGAAGAAAGCAAACGTGTGTGTGTGTGCGTGCGTGCGTGTTGTTCAGCTAAGGCCACAGGCTTGTCTTCACCAAAAAATCCTTCCCCTAAAAACCCGAACCCGCAGCTTTTCGTGGTAAGCGTACCTGGAAGAAGTGAAGTCCCACTGAAATCAAAGGGGCTTTCTTTCAGGGAACTTCATTATGCAAACTAATCTGAAGGCTTAATGAGATCCTTTTGGAAATGACGCGTGTCGTGTAAGACAAGGGAGGGCAATGGATGGGTTGAGGACGGCCACCCGGCGGAGAGCACAGCATGGGAAAGAAATCCCATTGAGCTCAGTGGGCTTGCTCCCAGGTCACCATGCATTCGATCGGGCTGAATCTAGGAAGAAGGAAACGCAAAGCATCGTGAGCAGGGAAATGCCCACTCATTTGCGATTAAGACTCACCCTTCTGAAAAGAATGGGCAGCTTCTACTCTCATTTTGCTTCCCTTCGTTTGCACTTCCAATCCAGTGTCTCTCAGCAAATGTTTTATATTCTTCTGACAGCATCAATTTACTTATCAGGCTCCTCGATTGCATTTTCCGAGGAGTAGAACGTAAAAGTCTCGCGACATTCAAAGTGGCAACTTTTGCTTAGACGGGTGTTGGCCACTTTCTGCAAAGGCGTTCAACATTCAGGTCAAGAACCGGAGACCGGGACAGGAAAAGAGCCAGGGCTTTCGTCCAGACTCAAGCACACGTCTCAGAAGCTAAAAGCTTTGGGTACCTGTCATCCTTGCCTCCCTTCAGCTTCTCATCACATACAGAACACATGTTCTAGCGCCTCTAACTTCCTCGAAACGGGGGCCTCTGAAGCTGTGAAAGGAAGAGTACAAAGAGAGGAGAAAAGCAACACAAAACCCTTATCCCGCCCCTGCAAGCACGCTGCTCAAATCAGCGGTACCTCAATCTATCCTGCCATCAATTTTAACAAGATGCGAATTGCAGAAGAGAATTAAATCACAGTCAGAAGGACTGGGGAGTTCCTTCAGTGGAAGCGACTCTGTCATGGGCAAACGGGCCCTTTATCAGTTCAGCACCCGAGTCAGCCTCAGCCGAGATAGTCGCTTTCTGTGAAATTCTTTGCAAGAATTAACTGCGATGGCCCCACAAGACTTTCTCCGCTTCAGCCGCTGTGAAAAACGTGGGACGCTTTTCTCTCTTCGCCTTATCCTCATGGTGCCTCCGTCTCCAGGCTGGATGGAGAGAGGGAAGCCCAGTTTTGAGTTGCAGCTTGTCGGTCGTTGTCGGCAAGAGAAGGCTTTATTTAGGAGCGCCGCCTGACGAAGCGTTCTGCCTAAGTCGTAAGCTTGCATACCCCTTCGGGCTGGCGATCCACTCCCCCTCCTGCGGGGACCGGCGAGGCGCCCCGGGGCTTCCAAAGCGACGGTGCAGAAGCTGCCCGGGTGGGCAGGGCCTACATTCCAAGAGCGTTGACAGGTGTGCGCGGCGGCCAATAGGCTGCGCCGGAGTCCCGCGCCGACCGCCAATGGCGTCTTCCCTTTCCAGAGGGCCAATCGGCGCCGCCTCGGAGCCTTCAAGGGAGCGGAGCTGGCCGGCCGGGCGCGCTAGTCCCTCGCGGGGAGAAAGCGGGCGCTAGAGCCGCAGCGTGGGGCGCGAGGGCTGGGCGGCTGCAGCGCGGCGCCGGGGGCGAGGGGCCGATGCCCCCCGGGCGGCCGGCTGCCGGGGCAGCGGCACCCTCTTGGAGCGCCTGGCTCCCATGGCGAGGCTGAGGACGCCGGCGGCGGACTGCCCGTGATCTCCTGTGCAGCTCGACCGGGCAGAGCGGGCGGCGGCGGCTCGGCTCGCCAAGCCCGCGGGCCCGGCGCGGATGGAGAAATCCAAGAATTTCCGGATCGACGCGCTGCTGGCCGTGGATCCTCCCAAGGCAACGGCCTCGACGGCGCAGACGTCGCCCCTGGCCTTGGTCACCTCGCTCTCCGGCGCCCACAGCAGCTCCAGCAGCAGCTCCAGCTCCAGCTCCAGCTCCAGCTGCAGCCCGCCGTCCTCGGCGGATCCGCACACGGGCGGCTCTTCGGATTGCCTGCGGACTGACAGCCCGTCCCCGCCGCGCATCCTGAGCGCGCACTGCGGGCTGGTGCCCAAGCCCGGCTTCCTGGCAGGCGGCGGCGGCGCAGGAGTAGGGGGGCACCCGCACCACCCGCACGCCCACCCGCACCCGCACTCGGCCCTGGGACTGCACCCCGCGGCGCAAGGCGGCGCCGGCCTCCACCCGCAGGCGGCCCTCTACGGGCACCCCATGTACGGCTACCCGGCGGCGGCGGCCGCGCTGGCGTCGCAGCACCCGGCACTGTCCTACTCCTACTCGCAGGTCCAGCCTTCCCACCCCGCGGCCGATCCCATCAAACTCAGCGCGGGCACCTTCCAGCTCGACCAGTGGCTGCGGGCCTCCACCGCCGGCATGATCCTGCCCAAAATGCCGGACTTCAACTGTGAGTAGAAGCGGGGCTCCGGCGGCGCTTGGAAGGGCCGGGCCGGGCCAGAGCTGCCTCCAGGTGCCGCGGGCGCAAACCCAGGCGCGGCTGCTGCCGGCGCCCCGGCGCGCGCGGAGCGAGACCTCTGTCGGCCCGTTCGTCTCTGTGCTGGGCAGTGCATCTCGCGCGCGTTCATACGAGCGCGGGAGAGCCGCGGGCTTTCCTTTGTCGTAGGCAGACGTTGGCTGGGCCTGGGCCTTTGCTCATGTCTGGCCTCCATTCTTCCTCTTGTGCGGTTTCGCAGGTTAAAATCGGCGGCTTTCGGCAAGTGACGCTCTTCTTGATTTGGTCGCGGATGGCGACTTTGGCTGGAGAGTTTGGGTGGGGTGGCTGGGGTAGGGGAGTTACCCAAAGCATCGCAAGGAGCGGCTGTCCACGGCGAAGCTCCCATCCTGGGAGATCCCCCAGTTAGGAACGGTTCTTTATCCGCGCACGAAAAGGCAGGTTTTGCATTTCACCGTGGGTTCGTTTTGCTTTGTTTTTAATGCGTGAAGGCAAACGACGTTGCAAGAAATGTCTATATCTGAGCTGTTTTATTTCTTTAGTTTGGAAATTGCTCCTAGACACCTCCCCCCCCTTCCCAGCGAATAAATAAATAAACCCACCTGAAATTAGTTGTGGATAAAAGGCCACATTTCCGAGACTAAAACATGTTCTGCGACATACCCATGGGTTTACTGAAAATATAATATGACGAAGCTGCTATTGCAGCCCGGAGTGCTTTGTTTCATTCTCAAAGTTGGGTGTAAAGCGACTCCTTTCTCACTAGGTAGGCGAGGGGCACTGTTTATTCCATCGTGTAGGTCTTCAGATGTGTTTAGATCATTCCAGTGCCACATTCTGGGGAACTTCGAATTGAATGGGTACTACTGAAATAAGGAAGTCAAATAATTGCAATAAATCATTCTTGCAAGTCAAAAATAAAAGGCAGTCACAGGGCTCACCGCTGTTGCTACCAAGATGCCTACAACTTGGAACTAATCTGCACATAAACCTCAGGATATTTCTTTGTTAAATAATAATTACAGTAACAAATCTTATAAGCAGTAGCGTTTGCCTAATAGTTTTCTTAGTTAGGGAAACTGAAATTAATAGGAGTAAAATTAAGCAAACTTTGGATGCAACCCAATGTTTTCTTTGAGGGGGTGACTGATCTTAGTACCTTTAGCTAAAATTAGAGCAGTTAAGGGATTATTTTCCTCAATACAAGAGACAAAGCATTTCAGTGTTTCTTCTCTCCTCCCTTTTTTCTTTTCCCTTCCAACAGGGAAAATAATAATTAAGAAAACTGTCAGAGTTCCTGCCCGTACAAACAAGATGTACTTGTGAATAAATAGCTGAACAAGAGACCGTGAGGGAGGCCTGGCAAATCGCACTGGGGTGTGAAAAGCACCTCCGCAGTGCTGTTTGCATGTGGGAGATTCTTGGACCATTTAGAACAAAACCTATTCTGATATTTTCAGAGTTTTATTCCAAATAACACGCATTGTATTACTGAAAGCAAACCCTTAAAAGGTTCAGGAAAATGATAATATTAATCAAGAGGGGGGTTAAATCAGCCCAAATCAAGCATGTGCATCACTCTGTCGATAAGGTAGAAATCCTTGAGGCTCAAACATGCTCAGCATGGCTTGGATTCTGCTTAAGAATATTCCGCTTAGATAAGTGGGGAATTTTAAGAATATATTTAGAGTAAACAGGATATATTGTATGGCTATTCAGATTCTGTTTTGGATGACATGACACTTAGATGCAAGAGTATGTCTTTCAGATTTATTTCTTTTACAGTTTTCTTTTCCATTCTTGACCATTCTTCTAAAAACGGTGCACTTGTTCAGTCTCAGATCAGCAGCACCTCAAAAAGAAGCTGTTGGATTGAATTCCAAAGCAATTCACCATTTTCTTATCTAGCAATGTGATTAGGAAGATATTAATGAAAGAGAAATTTAATATCCATGAAAAAATTACCTGATCTAAATCTAAGGATTTTGATTTTAGTAGGCTGCTGATCTAGTTGACAATCATAACCAAAGAGAGTATGCAACCCAAAGAGACTGGATACATATACATGGGGCCAGATTCTTCTAGCTTGTGTTCCCCATGAATTGTAGTACTGACTGAGCCCTTTTCCCACAGCAGCTTGGAGTTTTCAAAGAATATACACATGGAAAAAGAAAGAAAAGGAATTCAGTTTCAAATAATTTCCAGAAGAAAACAGGAAAAAAACAGAATGCCTTGGCCTTACTTTTTAATCTCTTTCACATTTATTCCATTCCCAATCTACTTCTGCTTTTCACTCTGCTACTTTCCAAATATACTTTTTGAATTGTATGTTTTTAGTTGATTTAAGGCAAATCCAGAGAAGAACTGACTGTGGGGAGGCAGCATTTGGTGGCTTCCTTCATCCCCACATCTTCCTTCCTCTATTAGGCTGATTCCTCAAGAGTCCGTTTTTACTTTAATGCCAGCTTGCAGCGTAGGGCAGGCTGGGATGAAAAGTGAACCCAGCCTACGGGAGCGTTCAGCTTCAGCCACACCATTTCCCGCTCCTCTGAAGGATGGCTGGAAGGGTGCTCTTGGTAGTAACAGGATCTTGTTCCTTGAACCCTTCTCCAATCTGTCATTCAACTTTGGGGAAATCAGAGGGTGGTGCAAGGAGATATTCCACCTGGCAGGGTGCTGGAATGTGGCCTCCAGGAGAAGGTGAGAACAGGGTACCTTCTGCTGTTCCTGTTGGGGATGAATGTGGGAAGAAGCAGGGATGCCCATGTGCAGAAGAATGTGGGAAGCAGCCTTACTGTGTGTCAGACCAGAGGCCCACCCAGCCTGGTATGGACAACTTTGCCTGGCATCAAGGACTTTCTAGGCAGGAATTATTCCTACTCTCCCTGGAGATGCTGTGGCTTGAGCTTCGGCCCTTCTGTCACTGCTGGGCTCATCTAAGGAACCTGTGAACGAGACACATACCTGTGCCTGGTCCTAGCTGCTGTGCAGCTCACACCCACCTCTTTCCCCACCACAGTCAAACTCCAAGGCTCATTTCATAGTGTGCTTTGAAACAAGATCCAGCTGAAAGATGAGTGCTCCCGATACTTGCAAGCCCTGATTTTGAGTGGGCAGAGAGAATTGAAATGAAATGTATCTCTTGTTGAAATGAAATGAACCTCTTGTTGAAGTGAAATGGATCCAGATGTGCTGGCTTATGTACGTACGTGGATCCTGAGCTTCCTATTACATCGGGCTGTTCAGAATAGCTGTGTGTTCGAAAGTTTCCTTTTAACTTAGTGCTTCTTCTGTGCCTTTCATTGCACAGAGGTAGCCAAAATCCTTCATTTGTGCCTGATGTGTCCCTTTCATTTCTCTGGACTTTTTCTTTAAGAGCTCATGTATCACTGTTTGAAATTAAAGTTAGAGCATTGTGAATTCTATCTAGACCTTAGGAACAGAATGCTCAATAGGAGGCTGAGCTCAGGATGCGTCTTTTTGCCAGCTCCCATTGTCTTGTACTTGGATTGGGATCCTTTAAAGACCAGCTGTTGTTTGTTTATAAGTCAATAATTCACAGCGTCCTGATCTATACCACTAGATCGCCCTTCTATCTGGCAGCCGCCACATGAGCTAAGCTGCTACTCCCACGTTGGCTGGGGAGTGAAAGAAGCTGTAATTCAACTGCGTGGGATAAACCATTTGAGATGATTTGCCTCCCCATTAGATAATAGTAAATACTGGTTGATTTTAAATCAACATTTAATTCATACTTCCCGGCTTCACTTAGATGGTGAGGACAATCCCAGGTATCTTTACTCAGAAGTGACCCTGCTGCTAGTAGTTGCAGATTAATTCATTTGCAAAAATGTCATGGAGGGAAACAACAGTGGTGGTGATGGTGGGTATACTAGAGGTATGGAGGGAAAGATTCAAGCTTCTTTTTTGCTTGGCACATGAACATAGTGGGATTATCCAAAGTTAAAGCCAGAACATTCAGGGCAGAATCAATATCCCATAGCAAAGGAAAAGACATAGTGGGAATGTGTATCATTCCCTTTGGAATGTTGAGTTGCAGTGATGGCTAATAATGCAGACGGATTGTTGGAAACGGGAAAAGAGATTTTAGGCAAATTAATGGAGGATAGGATGGCTGTGAGCAGTGATGAAGCAGATAGACTGTCTCTATGTACAGGCAGTTACGAATATACGTTTACATCACAATTTCTCTGGACATTTGGCAAGATAGAGCCCAACCTGTTGGTTTACCCAGCTTTTAATAATCATCTGTCTATCGCATCTTCAGTGTGCACAGTGCTTTGCTGAATAAGAGAACATGAAAGGACAGGGCTCTGCCCCAAGGAGGCTACAATCTAAAACTTGTCCCACACAAAACAACAACAGGAGGAGTGGGTTTGAGACACGAAGAACATTGCACTTGTTTCAGCTGCACCCAGTCAGGTTTTGTTATTACTGTTTTAACACTTTTTATTAACAATTTCCAGAACCATTTACACAGAAACCACTTCTGGCTTTCTCTTTCTCCCTCATTCTTCTCTTGTGTATTGGTGGGCACCATTCTCTTTCCTCCTAACATGCACTTTTCTTTTCTCCTTCCCCCATGATATTTTATTTTATTTTGAAATAAAATTAACAAAGGCAAAAGGAGAATAGCATACTTAATAAAAAGTGGTACATACATCCATATTAATTAATCAAGATCATTACAGAAGCAAAGAAATATAATTCTTAGTCTGTTTTTGAAACATCTGGACTACAATGGCTTAAGTAAGAGCTTAGAACCGCATGAAAGAGTAAAAGTTCAGTTCATACAGCATATAAAAAGGGGGAAGGGGGGGAGGGAGAGAGTTTGTGTGCACCATTATATATAGCAACTGTACTTGTTTGGGATTTGATCCAGAGTTTGAAGAGCTTCAACAAAAGAAATAAATAGAAATCAATGTGATAAAATACTTTCTGAGAATTGCAGCAATGATATAACAACAAAAACTTGAGTACATACAGCTTGCTTGTGTTATAGGATTTCTCTTTGGTTCTGTCCATAGTAGCTTTCTTAAGCTTAGGATTCCTTGCTTGCTACATTTTCTGAGCATGTTTCGATGTAGCCCTAGTCTCCCAAATTTTCTCAGAGCACTGCTCTTTAGCTGCCCGTTCGAGATACTTACAATTACAGGTTATGCATGATTTAGTTGTACTCAGCAGCCGCCCTAGTCTCCCAAATTTTCTCAGAGCACTGCTCTTTAGCTGCCCATTAGAGATACTTCCAATTACACGTTATGCATGATTTAGTTGTACTCAGCAGCCAGCCCGGAGCTAAACCTCTCTCTCTTTCTCTCCCTTTCGTTCTCCCTCAGCCCAGGCGCAGTCCAACTTACTGGGCAAGTGCCGGCGGCCGCGCACTGCCTTCACCAGCCAGCAGCTGCTGGAACTAGAGCATCAGTTCAAGCTGAATAAATACCTGTCACGGCCCAAGCGCTTCGAAGTGGCCACATCCCTCATGCTCACGGAGACACAGGTGGGTACCTGGGGCGGGGCAGGAGGAAGGCTGAAATCTAGTGGAGGCAACGAGAGGATGGAGCTTTGCCTTGCAGGCTGGTCAGCGGCAGGACGCCTGCCTGCGGGTGGGTGGCGGCGGCTTGGACTGGCCCCTCCCCAAGCAGTTTCAGGGTCCACAACCTGCCTGCTTACTGCTTTGCTCCCATTTAGGAAGCCCATGCAAAATTGGACAGGAAAAAAGTCGTCCAGTTTCGAGCCTGCCCGAAACGCATGGCAGACTGAGAAATTCAGGGAGCTGGAGGACTTTCGTTTTGTCACAGCGTAAGGGCTGACAACATGCCTCTTTTCAGCCAGATGTTCACTAAGGGGCAGTGGAGATAATTTTAAATAAATGTTTTTATTTCTCTTTAAAAAACCCATTTCCAAAGCTCAGGGAGGCTTACAAAACATGTTTTTTAGACTCTCCCCTCCCTTCTCTAAGAAGCTGAAACTGACATTATGCCGAAGTTTGTCAATCTCATATTACAGCCTAATTTTCCTATTTCCCCCCCACTCCTAATATCATTCTCACAGGAGAGGCTTGTCAAGGTCATCCAGTAAACAGATATTTCTGTTTTTCATTACATTTCTATACCGCTCCCATAACTCTTCAGGACTCTCTGAGCAGTGTACAATCCAAATATGTTTGGATTCTTACATTTGAATTATGTTACATTTTGTCTGCATTTTATTACAGTGAGGCACCTTGAGCTCTATTCTTAGAGGTGGCATAAGATAAATTAATTAAAATGGAATTTGGACCAGAAACAAGCTCTCTTCCCTCAGGATCCAGCAGAGGCAATTCCACTCTGCACCATGCTACGCACTTCCTACCCTTCACTGGGTGATTTTTATGCTTGGCAGTCCATGTGAAACACAAAGGAACCCAGTCTTGGGAAGAAAACAAACCCCTTCACTTTCCTAGTTCCACTGCTTCTTCCTCCTCCTCCTTTGCTGCCATCTTTCTGAAATGCTGTCTCAAGCCGCACGGAGAGATGCCACGTGCAGTTTGTAAGCAATCTCTGCTCCTCCTCATATCATCTCCATCATCAATCAGTTTGGATGCCATGAACCAGGAAGGGCCTAAGAACAATAGAACAGCCATGCTGAAGTGGGTCAGTGGCCCATTTAGCCTGTTCGCATGGTGGCCAGTCAGTTGCATACAGGATCCTGCAAGCAGGACTTGAGTGCCTCAGCCCATTCCCGCCCATGTTCCCCAGCAACTGCTCAAAAGACCATCTCTACCATAAATGTAGGAGATGGCCTTCAGTAGATCACACACTCCCCCATCTCTGAGACATTGATGATGATAATAAATAAGTAATGGCCCAGTTTCATTATTTAATCAAAGTCTGAAGTAAGTATTACTGACAAAGTATGTTAATATATTGCGTCTCGCAAGTGAGGTATAAATACTACACCTAATAAAATATGCCCAAGTTTTAACCAATCTGGATGACACCCTCTGGCTCCCCAGCTAACTTATGAAATAGGGATGAAAATCTTTTAATATGTCCACTTTCAAAGTCCATAGTAGACTAGGGGAAGCCCAAATTATAATCAATAATAACAGAAGCATGAAGGAAGAGAAATGTTTGATCAGAAGCAAAGACAACAGAACCAGCTTTTAGCCTGTCCTACTGCACAGGGGCTGGATGGGCTTGATCATTGGGAAGAGAAAGCACAAAGCCTTCTTTCTCCTGTCCCCATGTGGGCCAGGGATACACCGTGAGCCTTGCTCAGTTACCTTTGTGATGTGTCATTCTAACCTGATGTGGCAGTGGGTGGCTTCTAGACTACCCAGAACCCTCTACCAAGCCAGGGGTTTGAAGCCACTCCCACTGCGCATCTCACCAGGTTCAGAGGACACAGCTGCCCATGTACCGGGAGAGCAATTAGGCAAATCACGCGGCATGCAGAAATACGATCATACAAACCAGGCCAGTGTTCCTGTGAAGACAACATGCATGTGTGGGAGAGAAGACATTGTATGCAGGTTTGAACTTCCAGGAGAAAGGCGGGATGTAAACGTAATAAGCAAGCAAAGAAAAGAAAGTAAGAGCTCTGGGAAATAATACACTTTTAATGTGGTCACCAGAGAGAGAGAAACTTCTATCTCTGGGGCAGACCGTGCCTGACTGCTAATGGCCCCTGATGGAAGCAGAGCCTGCTTTTGCTTGTGATCCATTTAGCCTCGGTGTAGCAGCTGGACTACAGCTCCCATCAGCCACAGCAGGCAGGGCAATAGTCTGGGGATGGGCACTGTAGTCCAACAACATTCAGAAGGCTGATGGGCCCCCAGCAGGGCAAGCTCATTGTCCCAGGCGGCTTCAGGCGCTCAGAAGTGCTACAATGGCAAGTTCCTCAGGCTTAGTGCTCATTCTCAGAAGAGGCTCTAGGGATGAGTCCGGGGCCTAACTGAGCCTGGGGTAGAATCCAGTGTTCAGCTCTTGGAAACGAAGGAAACAAGTTAGTGATGATGTTGCTTCAGCCCCGTTCATTTCAGTGGCTCCATTCTGCACGGGATACTACCCTGGCACGTATCTGTTTCTATGGAGGGCTCTTACGGGGCAGCCCCGGCCCACAGTACCACCTTCTATCAGTGTGCCACTTCCCTTTCCAGGTGAAGATTTGGTTCCAGAACCGGCGCATGAAGTGGAAACGGAGCAAAAAGGCCAAGGAACAGGCTGCGCAGGAGGCCGAGAAGCAGAAGGGGGGGAGCGCTGGGGAGGACAAAGTTGGTGACGAGGTGCAGCTGCCAGCTGGTGGGCCAGAGAAGAGTGCCGGGGGACGCCGCTTGCCTGAGTGCAGGGACAGTGACCGAGAAGAGGAGGAGGAAGAGGAGGAGGAAGAGGAGGAGGAGGAGGAAGACCGTTCTGGACACTGCTGCCCCTGTGGCTCTCCTGACTGCTCTGATGGAGAGGAGGAGGACAGGAGGCAGCCCCACGGCAGGCATGGGGGAGCCCACCCACAGCTGCCCCCTGCTCCAGCTCCCTGAATCCCCAGGTCCCAGGCAGCTGGGGGGGCCCTTTCCTTGCCCTTGTTCACAAGAGGGACCTTCTACCCAAGATGCGCTTGTTCCATGCCGGCCCCAGGTTTTGGAGGGCACTTGGATGCTGTGTTTGCTCCTTGCCATACATGGGAAATGTAATTTTTAAAATCAGTAAAAGATGTGTTAAAAAAAGAAGGCTATGTGCGGTCCATGCCCTCCACCCACCTTGACTGACACGCAGTCAGCTCTTCCATGACGCATCACAGCTCCAGGCCAGCTGAGCTCAGCTCACAGGGCCTGTCCTCTCCTCCCACCCACTTCTGCATCAAGCTCAGCCTATCACCTGAGTGGGCAGACTTCCATTCTTTAATGATGGCAGGAACGGGGGATCTGTGGGATGGTGGCACCAGAGTCCCTAAGTCACATAGTCTTGGATGTTCAAGAACTTCTGCTAAATTGGCTTGCGGCTTCTGCCCTCTCCCTACCTTCAAATGCACCCCCAGCCCAGCCCAGCCCAGCCCAGCCCAGCCCAGCCCTAGGAGTGTCCACCCTCAAACGCACTCTCAGCATAATTCAGGGGAAAGGAAACTAAAACAACATTGTGATGGGAAGCTCAAGTAAAAGAAATAAAGGCAACCGTGCAACAGGTATTTCTTCCAGTTCAATGTTGCACCTTGCAACCCATGGCTGATGGACCAACGTTGTTGTTTTAAATTAATGTACAGTTAATATCAAAAGCTGGGGCTCTCTCATTCCCTCAAGTTGACTGCCTTCCTGTCCATTCTGCAAGGAAAAATGAAGAGGATCATCTTTATATACCCACAAAATGATGTCAAAAGACTGGAAACATCAGTTCCCCTGGTTGGACACGTTGCCCTTTTTCGTCAATAGTATTGAGAATTTCGTGCTTATTCTGTGTCAAGCAACCTGGAAAACTTATACCAGGAAGGCTGGAACTGCCAAGCATCTTAGGGAGACTGTATTGTCTTTATTTTTGTACATTGTATTTATAAAGAGAAAAAGCCCTCTACTTATGCATGCTAAGTTATTAATCAGCTTCTCCTAATGTAAAATAAACAGTTTTGTACATGAGAATAGTGTATACTTATTTAACCAAAGAGGCTGTGTGTGCATTTTCCCAGATTTCATGTCAGGTCCACAACCAGGCTGACCAGCTGCTGGTCCTTAAAAAGATCTGAAACGGAACAGAAAGTGTCACTTTGAGAATGCATCTTCTCAATTCAGTGTTAGAGATCTTAGAGAAAATAAGTATGTTGAACACTAATTTCCTTTTCTGCTCATTAAGGTTTAATCTGGAGCCCTTTTGCCTCCAGTCATCTTATTTACAACTCGAAGCAGATGAAACCTGTTTTGGGGCATATTTCTGTGCCTTTCACAATTGTGGGTCAGTTAGAAATTCAACTGGTATGGTTTTCCTAATGTGGAGGTGGTAAAATGGGGAAAATATCTGGAAATATTTGTTTCTGCTGCATTTCTGTTTTACACCTGTCAAAGGCACAAGAGCTGTGTCACAATAAAGCCTGTAACCTTAGATAAGCAGCTGTCCATGATACTTCAACATATAGAGGCTTTATCAAGCTGAACTGAGTTGTTATTAAGCTGCATTGGTTTAATGAATCAGGTCTATTGGTTGTAATGGAATCTAAATTATGCTTAGAAGAGAGGTATTGATCAATATTGCATATTCCTAAATTGGCTTGGCAGGGAGAAATTAAGCAGCAGCAACATCAAATGATAGAGGAGCTGAATCTGTTGTATTTCTGTCAGCTGTTGAAAGAAGGCAAAGGCAGAAGGTAGGGTTCCAGATATTTTGCACTTCAGCTCCCAGAAGGCCTTTCCAGCATGGCCAATGCTCAGGAATGCTGGGATGTTTCATTTATCCTATGATTTAAAGTGTAGGATAAAATTCAACAAGTCCTACTTAGAATACACCCACTGAAGTAAATGGGATTTCAGTCAATCATGGTTAACTTAAACCATACTCGTTTTAATGGGTTTACTCTAAGTATTACATTGCATTTCAACCTATGAATTCCAGACAGGAAAGGCAGTAACACTAGAACTTGGTTACTTAGGCCAATATTACTGCATCCTCCTTTTATGTAAATTTTCTTGGAAATTGGCTTCGTTCCTTTCAATGGCACTTTTAAACTGCACCTACTTAGGAAAGAACTTTTTAGAAAGTGACCTCTCTAGCTCCTGAGGGTTGTGAAGCCAAGGTAGAGCTTTGTGCCTGGTTGCCTTGATCCGATTTAATTTCCTGGTTTTCTCTCCTTCCCCTTCTCCTTCCTCATTTTGCCTGGCTTTAAAATTAGCAACTAATAGCCCTCTTAGATCTGTGGAAATGAGCAGCCAAGCAAGCATTAAGGGAGAACATTAATCTGCTGTGACCTGCACACACCCCAGAGCAGGGGCTGAAACCATTTTCCTGCAAAAGGCCATGACCCATGGCAAAAGACAACAGTCTGGATGTGTGCAGCTGCTAGTTGGTAAATCCAGGACCCAAAAACATAAAAATATAGAAACAGAGCGAGTCAGAAGGGGTCTCCCGGGCCATCTAGTCTGACCTCCGACACCAGCCGGCTCCGCTCACGACAGGCCCACCATGTGGACATCCAGCCTGTCCTTGAACACCCGTGCCGATGGGGCCTCAACGACCTCTCGTGGAAGCCCATTCCACACCCTTGGGGTCCTGACTGTCAAGAAGTGCTTCCTGGCATCCAAATGGAACCTTGGCTCCCTGAGCTTTGCTCCATTGGAGCGCGTCCTGCCTTCCTCTGCAGGGGAGAACAGGTCTCTAAAAAGGATGATGTTTGCCTTGACCAGCCTTCCCCAACCTGGTGCCCTCCAGAAGTGTTGGACTACATCTCCCATCATCCAGCCTGCTCTGTAGTCCAACCAGTCTGGAGGCTGGGCAATGCTTACAGCCATCCCTTCCAGTGCCGTCCGACCATTCCTCTCTTGCGCAGCACATGCAAAGTAGAAGAGGGAGCGATTCTCGGGGGAATGGGAAGGAGAGGGGCACATTGATGGAAGGTGGTCAGGATTGGACCATGAAAGCACTTCACAGAAGCACACGCACACCAGGGCAGTATCCCATGTTAGTCCTTTGCAGAATAGAATCATTGAAATGAATGGGGCTGAAGCAAAGTCATCACTAACTTCACTCCTTCTACTTTTCCTGAAGGGAACCGAGGGTTCCCCACCCCAGGGGAGCAACCTCCTGGCCTGATCTCTCTTCGAGGAGACCTGGACACGTGCATCATGAGATGGGTGGATTGCTAGGTTTCATTTATTACCATCTGTAAGAATGCCCTTAACAGCCGCTTGCTTTGAGGTCTCTCTGCCATTAAAAGTTTCTCCAGCCAACTGCTGCAGATGGCAGGCACAGCTGTGCAGGCCTGAGCAAACCCTGGCAAGCTGAGCTGCCCTTTTTCCTCTTTTTTATAATTTTAATAACAGTAATGTTTGGGGGAAAGGGTGAGGGAATAGGAATAAAAGAGAAAAAAAATAAAAGATAATGAAGAAACACCAAAGGATCTTAAGCATTGCATAGAATATCAAACATAAAAGATTTCCCTGTTAAGTCAGTGATTATTATCCTTTCTACTTCACTCACATTTGTTGGAAATTCTGTTAAAATTTATCAAAAATTCTTCTAAATTGCAATTCTTTAATGTATCCTCTATCCACCTTGACTCAACATACTATAACAACACCGCATTAATATAAACATCAATATCTAACATATTCTCAGAAGTTCTATTCGCCTTATATGTGTATTTTTCTGTTCTTACTTCCTCCATTAAAAAGGGTTATGTAAAATACGATTTCCACGTATCATTAAATTCTTTGGCTATTATCTATTTACATAATTAATCAGTCTTGCCCTTCCATTTATTGCACAAGCGGAGCTGTCCTTGTGGATTGCTTCCTCTACCAAGAGTGGCCGAGCTGATAACAAGCAAACCCTCCTTAAGGCAGATCTCCTAATTTAGTCCTTAAAAGTGCCCCTGAATTGCTCAGGCCACTTCGATCCGCAGCCAGGTGCGGAATCTTTTCCTGGATTATGGCCCTCCAAGGTAAACACTCAGGGTTGTGTGCTTGAATGCGGCCTGTGCAATAGTCGAACAGAAACCCACCTACATCTGCCTGCACACAGAAAACTAGCCTGCCAAGGGAGTTCTGCAGGACAAGGAAACTTATGGCTCAGTAGGGGATCTGGGACACAATTCTATGCAGGTTTCAACAGAGAAAAGGCCTTCAGCTCCCAGCATGCCCCACTCAGCCTTATTTTGCTATAGTTTCAGTTTAGCGTATTGGGCACAGGCCTTTAGTTTCTTATAATTCTATTTACATTGTAATTTAGCTTTCCGAGGCTTTTAGATAAGATCATCTTGGCATAAATATGAAGATGGGTGGTTTATACATGCTTAAGTTTACAAATTTAACTCCCATTTCCCTCAATTAACATTAAATCTGAATTTGCTTAGGATGTCAGTATTTCTTTGATGAATACATCTAAAAAGACAGTTCAGCATGGTTTACCACCCAAAATAAAAAATAAAAAATATGCGCTTAATCGTATTGCTACTTTTTGGAATTTTATTTCAAGTATTTTACCTCAGCCAAAAAAGATACCAAGAGCAGTGGGCAGAGGGGTGTGGATGGCCAGAGGGAGCAGGCCTGGGCTCCTCAGGCTGGGGCTACATAATTTTCCAGGTATTGAACTTTTCTGCTTCTTCTATGAGTGTGCAGCTGAAGAGAGCCGTTCTGTTCTACTCAGTCCTTTTAATGTGTGAATATTGAACTGGGAGCACCTCCCACTATCACACTGAGAGCTAGTATAGTGTAGTGGCTGAGAGTGTGGACTGCGACTCAGGCGATCTGGGTTCGAGTCCCTGCTTGGTCATGGAGCCAACTGGGTGACTTGGGGCAGTCACAGACTCTCAGCTCAACCTACCTCACAGGGTTGTTGTTCTGGA